AAGTGAAAAGATAAATTCTCTTTTAAAATAGTTTGGGGATCCTTTTAAATTGCTGTGTAAATACTATAATGTCTATAAAGCTCTATAGTATTTGAATTGGAATAGCAGGAAAACTGTTACTGAATCCTAAAATATATGAATTAAAAATAATATAATGATTTTCAATAATTTAATTCTCAAATAATACCTAAAAAATAGGTCCAGCTTATCACACAGTTGAAGTTCTTTTGATAACTAACTTCTTGCGATTTTTATACCACTTTCCCCATTTAATGAGAACTGCTTTAAATGTGATAATCAGCCTTAATCATGGCTGTAATTTATAAATGCATACAGCCACAAATGTAGATTCTATTTCTGTAGCTTCTAGTGAAACAATTAGTCCACCAGAATGATTATGTATAATTTAAAAAGAATCACACTAGCAGCCTTCCATACTCCTAATGATAATATTGAAATTCTCTAGCGAATTAGTTATAGCTTGATGGCTCTTCAACACATTATCATTAAGACAAAACAGTGGAACATGCACTGATTGTGATGTATTCAGAATTACCTGAGAGGTCATAACATGAAGTCAGTAGAGTTAAAATGTTGTTTAACTGTATTTTGGCTTGTTTTGTTTATTTTGCAACATTATGTTAGTCAGCTTGCTGTTTGATAGAGGTTGAAACAATTCAACAACTTCTTACCTTTAGAAAGCTCTCATCTCTCAGTGAGAAGGCTTAGCATATTAAATCGGCAAACATAAACACAAAACCCAAGGTGTGGCAGGCAGGGGTTGTACCTGGCTGAAACCTGTCCAGCAGCAAAGTTCTCAAAAAAATATTTAGATGATGTGAACTCCTCCAACTTTGTTTTTCAGGTTTTGGTTTTGAAGTGGGTGAGAAGAAAAATGAACTTTGATGCACCCACTAAAGAACTGAAACCCAAAGTAGTTAGGAAAGAAAAACAGAAAGTGCCCAAACAAAAGTGTTTTATTGTTACACTTGTTTTTCTCCATTGTAAAAATTAAAACTCATATGATTTTTAGGTACCCAAAATTATTCCAACGCAACACTGACTTGAAAAGTTACTACTTTTTTTTTCCCCTCAAAATTTGAGATGTGGTAATCTAAAATATACTGCCTCAAATGGATATTTTATTGGTTTTTAAGCTTAGGCTTTTTGTGGAGAAGCTCTAAACCTAGTTCTTGCAGTTAAGATAACTTTTTACACATTAAATCATTTTCTTATAGACACATTTTTATGTAGAGTTTAGGTAAGCTTCCACTTTTTGTCTGGTATTGCCTACACCCTTCTTCCACTAGAATATCTTGGCTGTGAAAAAAGAACCTTAAAAATTTCAGTTTCCAGTTTTTGTGGAATTACTGTTAACTGGCTTTTCACTCAAGTCAGCTAGTGAGTAACATAAGTAAACTTATTTCAACTTAAAATTGAATTTAAAACCTTCTAATGTTCACACTAATGTTGCTAGGTTAACAGCCAAAAAGATTTCCTCATGTTGTTTGGACTTTTGTAGGCAACAGAGAATTTAATATAAAATACTGTACCTCCAACACAGAACTGATTATCTGGGTCAAAGAAAATTAGTTCTACACTGGACACCTTTTGGTGGTTTGTTTTTTTTATTATTTCATTTTGGGGTGTTTTTATTGCCTTGGATTGAAATCTTACTGTGTTTGAAAATGTGTGACTGGGCTAAACATTTGCATGGTACAAATCGTTTGGTAGACTCACAGATGAAAAATTATGAAAAAATCATCTTTGAGGAAATAAATTTTTTACTTGCAGGATGATAAACATACTAGAAAAGTATCAGGTTGGCAGTATTGCTGTACTTGTGACTTCTTTGTATTACTTGAGAGCTAATAAAGGGTTTTGGTTTTCAGGTTGGTTAAAGATGATAATGAAGTGACTGTACAAGACATGACACCCAGGAAAATCATGGTCACTCCTGGGTCAAAATCAAAAGTGACAACTGAGAATGGTAAGTTAAAAAAATGTGAAATAAATACACATATGCATTTTTTATATAATGCATATGTAAATGCATTGTAAACATAGGGTAGACTTTTTAAACTGGTTTTTGTTCACTATAGTTAGTTCAGGTGCAGTCATTGTATGAGCACTAAAATCAAGAAAATGGAATGTTGCTGGCTTCTATGGGAAAGTGTCTCACTGCAGCATAAATATTTCCTAATTCTTCTACTCTACTCACATTCATCTAGAATTATGAAGAGGGATCCATCATTTTGTAACTGCAACTTTTCCTTGTTTGAAATAAAAATACTGGTTTGCCAACTTATCCCCCCCCCCTTTAGAATCCCTATTAGATCTCTTTAAAGGTGGGAAAGAAACTGTTTGGAAAGAGGCTAACAAGACAGTAACTTAAATCTTTCAAGAGTAGTGCTAAAACTTCTGTGAGAGGAGATGTAATATGTTCTCTTGAAAACAGAATCGTAGAATAGAATCATGGAATGGTTTGGGTTGGAAGGGACCTTAAACACCATCTAGTTTCAACCCCCAGCCGCGGGCAGGGACACCTTCCACTAGACAGGTTGTTCAAAGCCCTGTCCAGCCTGGCTTTGAACACTTCAGACAAACAGGAATAATTGAGTATGCTAGAAGCTAAAGCAATGTTGATTTAGGTTGAGCTTTTTCAGTTATCTGCTGTAGTGGCACTAGATCTAGTACTGCTTTTTACATTTTCAGCTTTTATGGAATTCTGTAACTTGGATGGTTCCTCATACTAAAAATTAACTAAAATTACTCGGGTGTTTTAGAACATGCAAATATATGATAAGCTAGCAGACTTGGGGAACTGAAACGGGTAATGTTTATATATATTTGTGTGTGTATGTTATTTTTATTATCCTCCCCTTAATTTCAGCAGCTAACTGGATGGCTTCTCCTATGATGCCTGTGTTCTATACTCCTGATGTGAAAATCCCTTCCAGATCACACAGTACAGTATTATCAGGGTTACCAGAGACAAATGAACAGCTTCTTCCCAGTCATACAGAAACACCACAGTGCCCAGATTTTGAAACAAGATGGATAAAAGCAGAAGCTAAGTTCTTAAATAACAATTCTGTACATGTAAGTTCTTAAATAACAATTCTGTACATGTAAGTTCTTAAATAACAATTCTGTACATGTAAGTTCTTAAATAACAATTCTGTACATGTAAGTTCTTAAATAACAATTCTGTACATGTAAGTTCTTAAATAACAATTCTGTACATGTGAAGTGTGTACCACACACTTTACCATAAACGGTTTTTCAAATTTCAGTTAGGATTTCTTTCCAATACTACTTTTTCTTACATCATTGTAGATATTTCTAATGGTAACTTTGTAAGAACACTTAATAAATACTATATTTAATTAAATTAACTGAAGGCATTTAATATCTCTTTTGTAGGAGGTGAAGCAGGGGGGGGAGACTGAGTCGGTGACAAAGAATGATGCAACAGATAAACAACACAAAGAAGACAGCATTTCTTTTGCTGAGAACTCTGAGTATCTTAAACATTTCAGAGACCCGTCTCCTCCCAAAATAAAACACTATGACCAGTTACTCAATACTCCTCCACCTCCAGAAATAACAAAGATACCAGATGATGTTCTACAGGTTAGCTGATGAACTTTTTTTTCCCCCTAAGTAGCTTTAGTATCAAAATAGTAAAATTAAAGCACTTATCAAATTTTGTTCTTCAAAAAGAAAGAGTTCTCTGCTACGTGTTAAAAATTCATAAATTGTAATCCTGTTTTGAGTTCGTAAATAATTATTTTTATTCCATTGTAATGTTTCCTGTAGATCCTGTGCAAGTATAGTGGTAAAGTAGACTCTAACACCAAAGAAATGGAGACCAAGACAGGAAATGCTACAAAATATGAAAGTGATGTCACAGGTTACTGCAACAAAGAGAACAGGTATGATTAGATTTTATGAATTTGCTTATGTATATTAAATTATGTATAACTTAATTTGGAGAAGCTATGAAGATGCTGTAATGCATGTAGAAATTCATGCAGCTGCTTGCTCTTCAGCTACAAAAATAGCTCTTACTGATACGACTAAATATTCTTTGCCTGGTATCTGACTGCCTTTTTGTAAAGAACAAATGTTGTAATCGACAAATACTATAATTGATCGTGTTTGAATCCTCCCATCTCAAAAAAATTAAGGTAGAGTTTTACTGTTTCATCATTTGGCATATTTTGCTTCATGGCAATCAAAGCACCAGTGAATGTTTTCTTCTGAGTAAATTTAGGCAATAAAACCGAGGAATAGGAGAAAACTATTATAAGTGACATGACCAATTTCATAGTCATTTTGGCAAAGACAAAGTTCTTTGAAATACAAAGCTGCCTTATGAACAATATGCGAGATGAATTCGTCTACAATAAGTATGAGTAATCTTTGAACAATGGAATAATAGCTTTTAAAATAACTCTATTGATTTGAGTATTTGTGACAACTCGATCAAGTGTAGCTATTCCTGATTTAATATAATGTATATTACACTTGTTGATTATTGGTTAAACTTGGGGTCAGCACAGATTATTTAGGTAAGGTGTACAGGGAACATGTATAGTGTCAAATAATAATCGCATCCCACAATGAGACAGATAAAAGTAAGTATCTTAATATGCTTGGAGTAGTCAAGTAGTCAAATAGAGGAAAGCTTGACCCTTCTTTTTTTTTCCTCATCAAGATAATGAAGTTCTCAATGTTTGTGTCTTTGGCTAATTCAAAATATGATTGAGAGAAGTTCATGAACTTTTCTGGATATATTTGCAGAGGATATCCTGGACTTTTCAAGCCAAACATCTGAAATCAAGCTGAAGACCATGCTGAGACTATTTTACATTGATGAATCTTATCACTGGATTGTAACAAGCTCAAAAAGCAGAAGAAAATACTGGTGGGAGAAAAGAGCCATATAAGGGAAAAGCTTTTTTTTTTTAATGGAGAAAATCTTTATCCATGATATGGATACACTTGTTTGAGCTCACAACTTGTGCTTCATTTTTTATTGAAACTATTGGCAAAATTTATTGAAGGTTTTTACATATATGTACTTTAGTATGTTTCAAAGAGGACTAGGGTCATGTTTGAGGTAGTGTTTCAGTTCTTCTCACCTCATTCTCATGTTTGTTGTGGGTATTTGCTTGCTGTGGGGTATACAGAAGCGTAATTAGGTTCCAGTAAAGGGAAAGTCCAGTTTATTGTCCCAGACAGTGGATATCTCTGGTTGCTCCGGTAGCATCTTCAGGGCTGAGTTTGAAGTGTGTGGTACTTCAGCAGTATTTGATATCTTCCACAGAAACAGGCCTTTTTTTTAATTGGGAAATTAAGTCCTGCTTTATTGTGTAAAGTACTTCTATGCTATTAGTCCCTTCTGCAATACTAAGACATATTCCTGCATCAGTTACTGTTACTTGACAGGCATTATCTTATGCTGCTGCTTCTTTCTGAATATAGCTTTCTTACATCAATATTGTATTAGGTGCTATGCATGTTTTCCTTTTGCCAGTATAACCTTTGTAGCCCCAAAAGGTGATGACTTCATATTCGATCAAGGTGACTCTTGTTCAAATATGAATGATTTGAAAATGTCTTGCACAATTTGTACTGGTTACATATATCTTCAACTGCTGGGATTTATTTGCTGGCAGGCATGTAGGTGATCTTCTGCTGCCACGTGCATTCTGTAAGTGGTGGTGTTGCTTACATCTGTCCCTGTAATAGCTGACCAAGCTTAAGTTCTCAGAGCTGGTTGGCACTTTTGTGGTATCTGGTAGTCAATACTTAAATCTCTAGTAGAAAAAAAAATCTCTATTTTTGTCCACAAGAAATCCCAGCTATGTATCCTTCTGTGGAGCCGGTTTGCTGTTTCCAGTGTCAGCTATTCCTCTGAGTGACTCCAGGACTGCTCTTATCAGCTGTATGTAGTCTTCCTGTTGATGGCGAAAATGCTGTTATTTGCATGAGGGCAGGCATGCAACACGATAAGGGAGATGAGGAGAAGAGTATGCTTTTCTGAACTTTCTGGATACAGCTCCACATTTTTAAGTCCTAGGGATATGCAGGCATCCAGAGATGCCCAAAACTATTTTTTCCAGTTGATTAGCGGTATCCTGGTTAAAACCTAGCAAATGTGCCTTTTTCCTGCTATATAAAATCAACTGGAAAAGATGATTTTCTACTAGGTCTGGCCTGAGCATACTGTCATTTTTCCGTGCTAACTTCTGTTTAAAAAATATGTATTATTATGTGTCAGTCTTTGAGCTTGATCAACATTTTTGAATACTAAATAAATTTGATGGCTGCTATAAAAACACTTACTTGTTATACCCAACTCCTGAAGAGAGGGAAGGCCAGACCTGCTTCCAGCATCTTCACAGACTAAAACCACTGAATGGGCTGGATGCTAGTCATGGAATTTCACGGTCTGAAAACTGTACAAAGCATTCTGCTACTGAGCAAGAATCTTTGGGCCTGACAGATTTACCAGTACTAAGCAGGAGGGTTTCAGAGCCTCCATTCTCCTGGTAAGTACTTCATTGCTACTTTCTTGCCCTGAAGCCAGGCAGATATCCTGACAAGGCTCCATTTAGCATGAATCAGAACATGAGCAGCACTACTGTCCTGGATCTTGCAGTGTTTCCCTCCCCCACCACTTTCAACTAATGAAATTCCCAGAAGGTCTTCTAAATGTTTGTTTGGGGTTTTTTCCCCTAAACTTCCCTAAACAGCTTTGGACTTCACTTTCCTTTTTTCCATTAGGGAGCTGTGGAATTGTACCCAGCAGTGCTGGAGTTCTCACCATAAGCCACTGGCATAATTTTTCTTACCTATTACACAATGTTTTCTGCTACATTTCATAGCTATTTTGTTAATATGGAAGGGATTCAGTTAATATTTTGAGATACAAATTATCTTCAAGATGACAATTGAAGTCTTAATCTTCTGGTTTACTTAAGGTATTATGACATGATGCTGGCATGAGACTTTTTGGAATTAGATAAGAAGTTTGACTAGTTAATTTTGTTTTCCTTGCCTACAGCATTACCCTAAAACATGTAATACTGCTGTTTGTACTTGTATTATTCTTTGTAGCAGGGCCACAGCTCTGAAGTGGATATAATCAGAGTAGCAAAACAAAAATCAGTTTTAGTTTGTCTGGTTTTATCTTTGAAAATCTTTTAGATTTCACTAGGGCCTAAGCAGTAGGTTGAGTACTGGGGATGGGGGAGGGAAAAGTTGGCAGAAGTGAAAGCATAAGCAGTGTTGGAAACTGATCTGTGTTCAAACTACGCTGGGGAGGGAAAAGTTGTGTGTTTTGCTTTGTCTTTGTTTTCCTTACTCATATCAGTTCTCTCCCACAGCTGGCTGTGTGGTGTGAATTCAAATACTGGAACAACTAAAGATGTAGCTATGGGGCTGAAGGAGCATAAAACTCCACTTAAGCCAGCACTACTGCTGAGGAAAGGCACTGCTCACTAATATAACACATCAAAGTGCAAATAATGCAAAAGAGCTTACAAGTTGTACATTGGCTTGTGGGGTGAGTCTGATAACAGCTCTGGCCTGTCAGTGCAGTTTGGATAACCAGCTAAATAACCAGCAAACACAGTGGTTCTGTAAGGGACAGTTATCACCTGAAAACAGACAAAATTGACTCAGAGTATGGTTTTGTGTTGTGCTTAATTTAGTTTAACTGTTGGATGCTTCCACTCGAGGCTGTTTCACCAGTTCTCTTGCACAGAATCTAGGGGTTGGTTTGTTGAACAGAACAGAATCTAGGATGGTTGTGCAGTTTTGTGATGGATTCCTTCCATTTGCTGAGCCACTGAGAGGACAGTTAATTTTGTGTTCTCTTCTAGTTTGTCCTCCCCAACAGTAGTCTCAGACTTGGCTTCTGCCAGATATAAGGGAAGGGTGAGAACAGATCACCTGCAGTCAGGAAAGACTGAATCCAGCACAAAATTGCACTTCAGTGTTTAGGGACATCTGGGAAGGAACCAAAAAATGAATGCCTTTAGTTTTCCTTCATTTGCTCTAGTTCTTAATATTTATTTTTTTTCACTTTTTAAAGTATATCAAGTGTGTCAGCTAACAGAAGCTTCTCTCCACAATCCCATTTGGCGTCAAAGGAGCATCTCAGTTGTTCTGTCGAACAATGGTTGTCAGTGCTTTCTTCTCTGGGAAATATTTGCCTGAGGTTAAATACAAATAAAGATCTCACAGTGAAATGAAACTTCTTACATGGTCTTTGAGTGGATAAATGACAACCATCACTTTTAGTGCCTCCCATTGTGCATTTATTGATGTGTTTATAAGTCACTGGAGCAATAACTGGAGTCCAGGCTTATAGGATCATAGAATAGTTAGGGTTGGAAAGGACCTTAAGATCCATGGGCAGGGACACCTCACACCAAACCATGTCACCTAAGGCTCTGTCCAACCTGGCCTTGAACACCACCAGGGATGGAGCATTCACAACTTCCCTGGGCAACTCATTCCCGTGCCTCACTACCCTTACAGTAAAAGGCTTCCTTGGTTATTTAAAGCTCCATGCATGCTTAAAATCTTCTGTATGATGTGCTATTTGCTTTGCTCCCTGTTGTCATTAATCAGATGATCCAGTATGTGTGGTGGTTTCATGCGTTCCATCAACAGCTGCAGCTGATGTTGAAGCTGCCTTTTATTGTGGGAGTCCCTTTTTTTCCTATGCAATGATAACACAGAGCTTGTAACATTTATAAGGAGCAATGACAACATCCAGTAACCACACTATGGAATCATACGTATGTCAGGTTAGGCCACAGGATGCAACTTCCAGGAATACATCAGTAAATGCTGGCTATGTAATCTATCAATTTAAACATGATTCCTGTGCTGTCCTTACATTAATACCTGCTTTCACAAAGAGGCAGCTGGCATCAGGGTAGGGAGCTGACCAGGTCCATGAATTTCTTTGATCTTGTCTAATTCAAGTTGAAGAGTTTTAAAAAAGCCCAAATGTGCACATGTAGGTCCATGGAAGAAGAGGCTGTGCTACCCAGGCACTTCTGAGGAAAAGCCATGTGAAGGGCAGTTTGCAGAATACCCAGCAAGGTGGTTTTCAAAAGCTTTATCTTTGACACAATGTATTCCTGGCTTACAGCCCTGTAATTAAGGCCCTGTGGTTACACTGCCCAATGCTTGCTTATTCAATTGCTGTGAACCAGTCTAAGGCCTTGCTGCACAGTCCCACCTTTCCTCTTTCCCTTGCCCTCTGTTGCATCACAGAATTTTGGCTGCAGGAGAAGCCATTCCTGTAGCCCAGCTGCTGGGAACTAATGGCTGGCTTCCAAGGTTAAATTGTTCATGGACTCTGTACTGACCTAAATCACTGATTGCCTGCAAAGGCAGGGGTGGGTGTTTAGGCAAGAGAAGGACATCTCCTTCACTGGCAGTTTAAGCTGCTCAGAGAATGGTATCCTGTCTGTTGGGCTGCTTTGGTAAGGTTTCCTGACACTGTTGTTCCCTGAGCACTTCCACATTCCTCAGGGTCCTGTCGTGTTGGGGGAACTGATGCTGCTTTTATTTTTTTAACCCAGCTGATGTGCAGTAATGTCTAGACACAAGGGCTGAGACAGCAGCAGCAGGTAATTGCTTTGGTTTCAGCATGTCCTATCATCTTAGCTGTCGCATTACTTACAGCACTGTTCTTTGACCACGGCCATAGCCATTGTCATCTGTTTGCTCTGGGTTTCAGAGACCTTCTAATTTTTCCATACTTTCCATTGCAAGAGTGAGAACTTGCTGATAATACCTAATGCTTTCCTGTTGCATCTTGCATCATGCCCATTTCTGCTTTTGACCAGCGCTGTAAAGCAAAATTTAAGCCTTCGCAACTGCTCCACTCAGTTAACACAGTGCCTGAGCAAGGAGGGTGTCTGATGTCACTAACCTGTGCTGCAACATGTGTGTCCCAGTTGTCCTCAATGCTGAACTAGGGAGGGAATTAAGCCGGGTATCAGTTCCTTCAGCAGAGACACAGGCAGCCCTTCTAAAAAGCACTGCAGGAGAACTCATAAAGGGTCCTGCTGCCAATGGAGCGGCTGCTCCTGTAAGGACTGTGAAAACAGAGTCCTTTGTTTAAGGCCTGAGCATATCAAAGAGGAATCTTAACCCCCTTCCTCCTGTTAAATGAAAGCCTGGATAACAATTAAGAGCAGCTGCAATATTTATGTAAGGTGTAACAAGGTAATGGTTAGAAGGTGTTCTTTGTGTGAGAAAAAGAAAAGGAAAAAAAAAGGGCATTTTTTATACACCTTTTTTTTCAATATATTAAATTGAAAATTTAACAGATGTGGTTGAGGGCAAATCTTTTTTTTCTGAGAGATGTTTATCCCAAAGCAGCTGCGGAAGAGGTTAACTCAGGTTCCATAGCATGAGTTCCAAACATAAGTAGTCAGGCTCCAGTATTTGCTATTGAAAGCAGCTCTGCATGTTCATTTCCTGGTGATTTTCCTTCATGGGCTACTGAATACAAAACCAGTAGCTGTTCCTCTTTTCCTCTGAAGTGTGTAAAGACCTGCCCAGTTGGAGCAGGAACAAGCCCTCACTAGGCTATGCCTCCCAATCCAGCAGAAAATAAAGCCAAGCCACCGCTCAGAGCAGATGAGCGTAGACACAGGCTTCCTTGCTGCTGTTGCTTTATGTATTGACTACATTTATTTCTGAGAATTATCCTTAAATGCAATTAAAGCAAAAACCAGGACCCAAAAATGAGGAAATGCCCATAGTCCTGTGTACCTCCTTGCCTTTGGGGAGAGGCTGTGCAGTTATCACGTGCTGGTTGTTGCAGGGCTCGCCTCATTTTGCAGCACAGATGATGCCCTGTGGTGACCAAGCCGCACAGCAGTGGTCTTCATTGTGTCTGCCCAGGTCTGTAAGGTGCCAGAAGCCAATGGTCATGATGCAGCAGGTTGCAGGAGGTCCAAGCCTGACCACATCTGCTCCTGATGACACAGGAGTCACTGAGCTGATACAACATGTGGGCTCCTCACAGCAGCAGCGCTGTGGAGAGTGCCCCCTCACACCAGAGGTGTCTGCCTGAACCCTGGCAAAACATCCCACCTCTGGCCACACTAGACCAGTTCCACCACTGCTCAGTCCTTTAAAAAGCAGCACCTATATTGTCTTTTCTTGAGCTCTCTTTCAGAAAGGGTGGGGAGCATTTTTCAACCTCTTCCATCTTGGGAGAAAGTGTCCCAGATGCGGGCAATTCTACAACTAAGGGTCATTCATGAAGGCTGAAATCTCAACTCATTAACTGAGAAACCAGAGAAGGGGGACAGAAGAGGATGAACCACGGGCAGAACTGAACCTAAAATCCCTCGGGCTACCCTGCACAGATACCTTGTCCTCAGCAAACAAGAAACCTCAATCAGCCTCTGCTCTGCTAAGGCCTTAGATGAAGAAGGTGAAAGCCCTAAGGAGCAGCTATGGCTTCTACTCTTGCTCTCACCTTTCCCTGAGCACATGGGCAGAACTTGCAGAAACCAAGTGCCTGGCTCTCTCTGGACTGGCCAGATGCCATTGATCAACTATGCTCACAACCCAGGTACAGCTGAAGCCTGCTGTGCACCGTGGGGTACCTGCACCTCTCCAAGATGTCCCCCTGCAGCAGCAGAAGAAACTGACAAGCACCGAGCTATGGGAAGCCACAGCCCTACCTTCCCATGTTGCACTGATTTACTGGGAGATGAGTTATCCCTTCCTTCTCCTGCTCCTCAAGAAGGCACCAGGCATTCCAGATTCCCCATGGACAAGCAAGACACCTTGGCCTTCCCTTTGTCCAGTCTTAGATTCTAGAAGCTGCTGAATTCTCCCAGCACCATCCAGCTTCATAGTATTTTTTTAATCACAGAACAGCCTTGAACCTTGACACCTCACAGATCCTTGGCTTTGTCCCTACGTAAATTGAGCAACTGGTGCTCAATACAAGCTTAAAGTGTTTGTGAAAAGCCACCTCATTGAGGGCTAAGCAGCAAGATGTACCCAGCTCAGACTGCCAGTGTAGGGTTAAAAATTGTATGTATTCATTAGATACATAGAAGATAACCAACAGAAAAAGGCTACAGTACTTGCTGGAAAGCAGTTCTGGATGTCAAAACTGGGTGTTGTTTTCTTGGTTGGTGTATGCTGACAACATACTGCTTGTAGTCAACAGCCCAGGATATCCAGGTATGCGAGCAGCTGCCTCCACCCTAAGGGTTTGCTTGGCAAAGAACAACCTGGTGGTCAAAGCCAGAACTCCTACATGCACTGCCAGAGCACAGACCTGCCTCACCTCCTCACAGTTCATCTGAACTGCAGGCAAGAGCACCTCAGGGCAGAGCATTTGCCACTGTGTCTTCAATAAGAAATAGTTGTCTGTTCCTTAGTCCTCCACCCAAAATCACCAGATATCTTCTGGCCAGGCCTCTGCAGCTATTCCCATCTTCTGAGACAGATGTCTCCAAAGTGGGGTGCGCAAGACAAGACGAAGTGGTACACACAAGCAGTATTTCACCCTTCTACACCTATTTTGGTGTAGTTTTTAAATGTACTTATCAGTACAGTATTAATTTATAAATAAGCTTGGGGGTGCACATTCAGAAATTTTATGCCAATAGGGGTATGTGATTTTAAAAAAAAAAAAAAGTTTGGAGACCACTATTCTAGGAAAAGCAAGACCTTCAGACACCTTTATACTTTCCAGTTCTAAAGGTACCACTAGTTCCCCAGTACTCAAGGCTGATGAGTAAGTGTGCTGAACCATATCTTCCTCTGCTAAGGCCACCAGCTCCCCAGCATCCTGGGATACACTGGTGTCACCCAGATCACTCCTGATCCATGGACTATCATCTCGGCACAAGCTGGAGCAACCCCTGCAAGCCACAGGGGTCTGCCTTGGCTCCCCTTGCACTCCTGCAGGACACGAAGCTGTACACAGCTCATCTCTTGACTTTCCTCTGTCAACATACCTGCATCAGCAAGGAGAGCAGCACTGCCTTTGACCACACTGCTCAAATGCTCATCCTCCAAACTCCAGCTAGAAGTAGTTTAAGAAATATTCTACACGGAATCCCCATTAGGCCACCTCCCTCCACTCCTCGAGCCCAGGAGTTACCAGATAAAGGCTCTAGCCCACCTTTCAACTTCTGCTTAAAAGCTGACTTGCACATTAACAAAAACAAAACCAAACACCACCACACCATCAAAGATCAATAGCATCCATCTTTATTCAAAAAAGGACAACTACAGAACACCTGTAATCCTTCCGGTCATATTTCATGGAAATCTTGAAACACTGGACACACTAACTTCATGTTCAAACTATAACACTTGGGGATAGGATGATGGCACTGCTAAAGAGAAGTGTTTCTTCTGATCAAACTAGAAGTTAAGGTTTAAAAGTTAACTTTCATTTCAGATGCTTTGCTTTGTCTTCAGGTGTTCCTGCTTAGCAACAAAAGCAGAAAAAAAAAAAAAAAAAGCCTGCTTTAGAACAGCAAGTAGGAATAGACAGAAGATGTGGCCATACAGAGAAACAGTGGCTTAATACGGTCTCATGCGGCTTGATGGGGGTGGTGCACGATTCGGAGGAGTAATTGCTATATCCAGGTAGTCTCCTATCTGGAATTTCTGAGACTGCAATGTCATGGAATCATCTGTGCCTTTCCTGCCCGACATTGTGCTGCCAATCTCCTTTACCCTGCATGCAGGAGAGGAAAGGCAAGTTAATGAGCAGAGGCAAATCTCTCCAGATATGCAAAACAGGAACTGTATCGGCTCACAACCACCTCCCCAGGCCATTCTCTGCGCTGTATTTAGTGACATACACTCAATGCTGGGGCTTTTCTCTCCAGTCCAAGATGACCAGAAAGAGCTACACCAAGTCCTCTTTTTGATGGAACAGAGAGGTGAGGGTACCTTCTACTGTTACCAAGTTAAATACTAGAGAGAACCCCACACCCCCTTCCATCCAGGCACAGAAGATGACCCCACAGATTACAGAACAGGATCTATCCAGTGGTAGCTGACAAAGGTTAGCTCATACCATCTTGGAAGATCAGTATCTGCAACAAGATCACTGCTGAAACTGAAATGCATTCTCAGATGCCAGACCCACCAGGTCTCCTATTAACAGCAACAGCTTTATCTCCAGGTGGAGGTCAGTGTTCTGGTGGTTGCCAACAGTAAACAAAGCCTCAAGCACACACTGCTTTGAGAGCACATTAACAACAATGGTCACCAATTAAAATGCAGAGTTAGCAGCAGTCATCACACAGTTTGTTGTCAAGAACTTCAGAAATCTGATATGTGGGCCCTGAACTTTCAAATCCGTGTTAATGAAAAATAATATACTGCTCTGGTGCCTGAAGTCTCCTATTAACCCGAGAAAAAAATGCCATTTACCTATACCCAGGCCTCTTGAGATCCGTAAAAACAATTGCAAAATTGAAGTGAGTGCCCTTCTTCCGTGCTTCTGGGTACACTTCTTTCACTAAGCTGGTCAGCTCTTTGAGGGTTGCATCCATCCTACATTAAACAAACAAGTGAAAGAGGTTCATGTTCTCAAAAGCAAGAGCAATAAAAAAATTCCCAAAACCCATTCAGGATGGAATCAATATATGGCTATGACTTAACCACACATTTCTTTCCCTTTGCATACTTTCTGTTGGCACACAAAGGTGAGCAAGATCTTACATTCTGGCTACCGGGGGGGTGTTGATTTCACAGCTCCACTGCACACAACACATTTGTGATCTAACCAACAAGCACCAAGAAGCTGCTCTAGATATTGATTATAACACCTGGCAGAATTCACCACTTATTGTACACTGGAAGCACAATCCACTGCAAATGTAGCTTCTCATTAGCTTCCGATTTACTACAAGATCAAGACAAATCTCTTAATCTTCATATACATTTCAACATCTGCTTTTCCAAGTCTCTCAGAAGAGCTGCCATTCAAACAGTGAAGGCCTACAATTTTTTTTAATGCATTTATACAATGAAGAGTCTAAGTTTCCTCGCTTAAACTGACATCTATGTTAAAACATTTTCTTAAATATTAAAGGACATGTAAGAAAGGAAAAAAAAAAAATTAAGTTTTCCATTTCATCAAGATTTCCATTTCTGCTCCAAGAGGCAGCACTCCTTTCCCCAGCCTTCAACCAGAGCAGGACTGAAGCTCATTTCTAAACTTCCAAGAAAAAAGGGCTCAATCATTGCAACTAATCATACAGACTGTACATTGACGCCAAGCTTCAAGTGACCAAGGAACACTGTGTTGACAGACAATGACCATTCTGACTTCTGTGAACAGCTCAAACATCATCAATAGCCTGAACAGAGTCCACGAATCCCATCAAAAAAGCTAGAACTGCATGCTTTGCTAGCCCCCAAAGTGGGTTTGTTCAACCATAAGATATACAACTATAACTTTAGCACACACCATGAAAGAAAAAGATGATAGAAGTAGCATAATTCACTTTCAAAAGCTTTTTTTATATTACTACAAACAAAAACTAATGTGCTTGCAACGCAGACTAAAATAGCTCTCCAAACTGAATCTGAAAATAAGAAAAAGCAGCTCTCTTACCAGGTAGCAGTTAAAGCACTCCTACCTGACCACACAAAAAGAAACACACTCTTCCACTCTCAACAGGCTCTGCCTTAAACCTAACACACCATTTGCACAACAGGCCAAGCATCCTGGGACAGCTACTGCTGAAAAAACGGCGTAATTAGAACAAAATGTCAATATTAGCTAAAGGAAAACCCCTGTATTGAACAGATTCCTTGTGATAACAGAAGATACACCATGCATCAGCCTCTGGTTACATGCCTCGATAACCGGCAACCTTACCGCACCGAGTTTCGGTGTGGGCAACCAGCACCTCGTACAACGGCCCCTGCGACAGCTCCCCCGCAGCTTCTGCTTCAAACACCACTCATCACTTCCCGGCAGCGGAACGCCGGACCAGGTGCTCACCCACTCCGGGCAGCTCTCCGGAGGGCGCCCCCGAGCAGGGCTCCGCTCTTCCCAGGCCGGGAGTAGGCCCTACCGCGCACTCACCAGGTGTAGATCTGCAGCTCGCTAGAGGGCACGTTGCCGCGGGAGAACTCGTCCATGCGGTGGTGCCGCCCGTTGTTGGTGGTAAAGACGCGAAGCAGCAGCGGGCACGTCTGCGGGGCGAGACGCGGGTGAGCAGCGGCTCGCCAGCACCAAACGCCGCTCCCCACACGAGGCATCACAGCACCGCCGCACACCTTCCCCCTTCCCGGTCCCCGTCCCCCGTGCCCCGTCCCGGACCCAAAGCCACACAGCACCCGCCGCCCGACACCTTCTCCCGGTCGATCGGCTTCTCCGGCTCCTTCTTGATCTCCTCCTGCGTGACGCGAGACTCCACCGCCATCTTACCCCGCCGCGCAAGCACCCGCTGAAAGGTCCCGGATGTCCTGTTACGCGCCTCAGCTCTCGCGAGAGGGAAAACAGAGAGAGCCGCGAGGGGCGTGGCTGGTGAGGGTTTGGCTGGAGCGGAGGCCCGGTCGTGGACTTGAGCCAGCGCTGTGGGTTGTAGCTGTGTGGGCTTCCCCGGCGTCTGAGGGGAAGGTGGTCGGAACTGTCCAGAGTGTCCCTCGCCTTCCTGGCCGCGTAGCGGTTGTGGCTCTCAGGGTACTGGTGCTCGGCCCTGCAGCAGGCAGCGCATCGCTACTGAGCGCAGCCTGTGAGACGGAAGATCTGCCCGTGCTGTGCGGGCACGGGCTGCCCCAGGCGGGCTCGGGGACCCCGTTCCAGCCGAGGCTGTGCTGGGTCTGCAGCTGTCGCGGCACAGTGGGGAGCAGGTGCCTGACACAGCTTCATGTACTGCTGCTGAAGCCTGTGAACACCTGGGATAGAGTCGCTTATCTGAGCGGGATTTGCACTCTGCATCTGCAGTTGGCAGGGGTCAGGATGTACTGCCTGAGCCTTCTCTCCTCGTTCTGCTCAGTGTTACACCCTGGGTCATAATACTATAATATTATAGTACTATACTATATTTATAATAATAATATAAGCCACTGATTGCTGCCTCTTGAAAAAAAAAAAACAAAACACTTTCTGTATGGAGGCAGATTAAACATGTCTAATGTAGGTAAATGCAATCAGCCACTATAACTAGCAGTAGATTAAAATAAATTAGGGGTAAATCATATTTAGAATTTAGCTTCCTTTAATATTACATTGAGGAAAATTCAAATGTATATACTTTCCACTTATGGTCTTGTTTTTCCAGTAACAGAATTTTGTATTAGGTTAAATCCAAGCCGGTAGTTGTGTCTCAAAAAATAAGTAGGAAGGGGATGTGTATTTCAACTTCTTTTAAATGTTGAGAGTTGTCTGTTACTCAGAAGAGGAGGAGAGTTGTTAATTTGTTTTCATAGAATTTACACTTGCATTATTTCCTCAAATGCTGTAAATTTATTTCTCAAGAATTTTTTTTTTTCTGTACAACAATAGACAAATGTATGTGTTTGCAGGTGCAAAAATAGCAAAATATCAGAGACTCACAGAATTGCAAAGGGAGCTCTGGAGAGAACTGCCCAGCACAAACCCCTGTTAATGGCAGGATTAGTAAGTGCTGGTTGCTCAGGGCCAGGTCTGGGTGGGTTGTGAGTATGTGCAAAGATTGAGACCTCCAGGCTGCACCTGCTCAGGCACCATCACAGAAAAAAAAAAATAAAAAAAAAGATTTATTTTTATTATATTTTAAATTTCTCATACCTCAGTATGTGCTCATTCACAGGATCACAGACTTTGAATGGTTTGTGTTGGAAGGAACCTTAAAGCTCAACTAGTTCCAACCGCCTGCGACAAGCAGGGACCACCTTCCACTACACCAGGTTGTTCCAAGCCCCCTTTAGTCTGGCCCTGACATTGCCTTTGGTTCCGTCGCTGGGCACCACTGTGGTTAGAATCTTCCTTTGGGATCACCCCTCCTCCCCCATCAGGTGTTGATACACTGACAGAATCCCCTGGGCTGTCTCTCACAACTGAACGCTTTCAGCTCTCCCACCGCATCCCCACCTTATAGCTCAGGACGCCTTCAACGCCGGACCGGAGCGGGGGGAAGCTCAGCATCCAGGAGCCTCAATTCAAAGCGGCGAGAGCCACAGATGCAACCTCAAGCCCTCGCTGGACCTTGCCCAGGAGCCGGCAGCTCCGCTGAGGCGAGCAGGGACTCGCAGGAGGCGGTGCCAGGAGGGACGGCCCCGCCCTGAGAGGGTAAAAACCCGCCCCAGGGAGCGAGGGAACAGGATCGCGGCGAACAGGGCGGGCAAACGGGGCGTGTCACGTCAGTCAGGGCGTGGCGGGACAGCTGGAGCCGGCAGCGTGAGCGGGCTGGTGGGCACTTGCCTCATGACCAGGGCCCGGTCCGGGAGCTCTGCTCTGGCTGCCCCGGCGGTGGCAGCGTCGGCACCAGACAGAGCCGATGAGAGGGGAGGCTGCAGCGCAGAGCTCGGGGTGTAGAGAGTGCCTGCACTGGTCTGGTGAGGGGAGGGTGCACAATGGGCAGGGCTGCACTCGGTGCTCCCTGGTGGAGGTCCTCCTGCAGCAGGGGCTGAGCTGCGGGACCCTGTCAATAGGCTGAAAGGTGTCAGGGAAGCTGAGAGGAAGCAGGAATGCTTGCCCAGGGCCCAAACTGTGCAGGGGCCGTAAGCGTCCACCATAGCATGTACGGAAAAGGAGGGCATTAACCCAAGAAGCTGGGAGCTAGTAACAAACACAGCAAAACAAAAAAGGAGGAAGAGAACAGTTACAAGCAAGGTGTTTCCTCCAAGATCTGGCGTCTCCACTCAGAACCTCTTCGGAGTTCTGCAGGGGGCTAACGAGGATGCACGCTGCACCAAATGAACATCCTGCTGATGCACCAGTAAAGGGGATCACTACGGGTGCTTCCAGGAAAAAGCAGCTGGTCATAGTAGTAAGGGACTCTACTTTGAAAGGCACAGAGGCACCTATCTGTCAGCCTGACCCAGTCTTGAGGGAGGTGTGTTGCCTATCAGGGTCTCGGATCAGGGATGTTGCTGAGAGGCTGCCTGGCCTAGTAAGTCCCACTATTACCTGCTTTTTGTGGTCTATGTGGGTGCTAGTGATACAGATAGCAGTAGCTTGGGAATTGTTAAGGAGAACTACAGAGACCTGGGAAAGGTGGTTAAGGGCTCTGGGGCTCATATAGTTTTTTTAATTGATCCTCCAGGGCAAAGGGGAAGACTTGAAAAAGGCCAGGCAGTTTTGCCAGGTTAATAAATGGTTAGAACGGTAGTGCCATAGTCAGGTTTGGTTATTTACAACATGGGACTGAATTTGGGAGGCCAGGTCTCCTGGAGGTGGTGAAGCTGGTGTTTTGGTAGGAGGCTTGCCAGGCTGGTCAAGGCAGCTTTAAAATAGATGTGTTGTGGGGAGGGGGCATTGATCCATCCCAACCCTCCCAGTCAGTTGCTAGCACCTGTAATAAATGCTTTGAGTGATGCAGAGCTATTTCAGCTGCTCCAGCCAATGAGCCAGCTTCATTTGGAGCCCTGCTTAGATGCCTCTATACAAATGCCCATAGTATGGGGAATAAACAAGAGGAATTAGAGATGTGTGCACGTCTACAGGGTTATGATGTAATAGGTATCACAAAAACATGGTGGGATGGCTCCTATGACTGGAGTGTTGGAATAGACAGTTACAGGCTCTTTAGAAAATACAGGCCAGGCAGACAGGGAGGGAGAGTAGTTATTTGTGTCAGTGATAGGCTGGAGAGTATGGAACTCTGTCTGGGGACAGGTGATGAGTCAACAGAATTGGTGGGTCAGGGTCAAAGGGAGAACAGTGATGGGGGACATTACTGTGGGGATCTGTTACAAGCCACCTGATCAGGGGGACTCTGTGGATGAAGTGCTGTATGGACAGGAGCAGCCTTATGCTCGCAGGCACTTGCCCTCATGGGGTACATCAACCATCCTGATATTTGTTGGAGGGATGGTACAGCCTGCACAAGCAATCCAGGAGAATCCTCAATTGTGTGGAAGACAACTTCCTCTTGCGAGTAATAGGGGAGCTGACAAGGAGAGGTGCCATGCTTGACCTCGTGCTCACCAACGGATGGGCTGGTTGGAAATGTGATGCTCCAGGGCAACTTTGGCTGTAGCAATCATGAGATGTTTGAGATCCTTAGGACAGTGAGAAGGGCACACAGCAAGCTCACTGCCCTGGACGTCATGAGAGCAGATTTCGGCCTCTTCAGGAACCTGCTTAGTAAGGTTCCATGGGATAAAGCCCTGGAGGGAAGGGGGCCCCAACTGCTGGTTGATGTTCAAGGATCACCTGCTCCAGGCTCAGGAGTGTTGCATCCCGACTCGAAGGAAATGCAGCAGGAGGGCCAGGAAGCCTTGATAGGTGGATAAGGAGCTGCTGAGAAAACACAGAGGGAACAAAGAAGCTTATAAAAAGTGGAAACGAGGACACGCGGCCTGGGAAGAATACAGGGATGTTGTCCGGGAAGCTAGGGACCAGGTCAGGAAAGCTAAGGCCCAGTTAGAATTGAATCTGGCAAGGGATGTGAAAGATAACAGGAGGGCTTCTGTAGATATGTTACCAGCAAAAGACAGACTAGGGATAATGTGGGCCCTCTCTGGAAGCTATTGGGAGAACTGGCTACCCTGGATTTGAAGAAGGCTGAGGTTCTCAATGACTTCTTTGACTCAGTCTTCACTGGCAAGTGCTCTGACCACGCTGCCCAAGTCATAGAATCATAGAATAGTTAGGGTTGGAAAAGACCTTAAGATCTTCTAGTTCAACCACCCCTGCCATGGGCAGGGACACCTCACACTAAACCATGTCAACCAAGGCTCTGTCCAACCTGGCCTTGCACACTGACAGGGATGGAGCATTCACAACTTCCCTGGGAAGCCCATTCCAGTGCCTCACCACCCTCACAATAAAGAACTTCTTCCTTATATCCAAGCTAAACTTCCCCTGTTTAAGTTTTAACCCATTACCCCTTGTCCTATCACTACAGTTCCTAATGAAGAGTCCATCCCCAGCATCCCTATAGCCCCCCTTCAGATACTGGAAGGCTGCTATGAGGTCTCCATGCAGCCTTCTCTCCTCCAGGCTGAACAGCCCCAACTTTCTCAGCCTATCTTCATACGGGAGGTTCTCCAGTCCTATGATTATCCTCGTGGCCCTTCTCTGGACTTGTTCCAACAGTTCCATGTCCTTTTTATGTTGAGGACACCAGAACTGCACACAATACTCCAAGTGAGATCTCAGAAGAGCAGAGTAGAGGGGCAGGATCACCTCCTTCAACCTGCTGGTCATGCTCCTTTTGATGCAGCCCAGGATACGGTTGGCTTTTTGGGCTGCAAGCGCACACTGCCAGCTCATGTTCATTTTCTCATTGACCAACATCCCCTGGTCCTTCTCCGCAGGGCTGCTCTGAATCTCTTCTTTGCCCAACCTGTAGCTGCGCCTGGGATTGATCTGACCCAGGTGTAGGACCTTGCACTTGGCATGGTTAAACTTCATAAGGTTGGCATCAGCCCACCTCACAAGAGTGTCAAGGTCCCCCTGGATGGCATTCCTTCCCTCCAGCCTATCAACCAAACCACACAGCTTGGTGTCATCAGCAAACTTGCTGAGGGCGCACTCAATCCCACTGTCCATGTCACCAACAAAGATGTGAAACAAGACCTGACTTGTGCAAAGCATTCAACGCTGTCCCATACAGCATCCTTGTCTCTAAAGTGGAAAGACAGAAATTTAATAGATGGACCACTGGGTTGATAAAGAACTGGCTGGATGGCCGCACACAAAAGAGTTGTGGTCAGTGGCTCAGTGTCCAGCTGGAGATCAGTAACAAGTGGTGTCCCTCAGGGATCTGTGTTGGGACCGATCTTGTTCAACATCTTTGTTGGTAACATGGACAGTGGGATTGAGTGCGCCCTCAGCAAGTTTGCCGATGACACCAAGCTGTGTGATTCGGTTGATAGGCTGGAGGGAAGGAATGCCATCCAGAGGGACCTTGACACACTTGTGAGGTGGGCTGATGCCAGCCTGATGAAGTTTAACCATGCCAAGTGCAAGGTCCTACATGTGGGTAGGAGCAATCCCAGGCACAGCTACAGGTTGGGCAGAGAAGGGATTCAGAGCAGCCCTGTGGAGATGGACCTGGGGATGTTGGTCAATGAGAAACTTAACATGAGCCAGCAGTGTGCACTTGCAGCCCAGAAAGGTTCTGGCTTATCAGGTGCATTTGTGAGTTCTTCTTAACCGGGGCTATATATTGCTCCTTAATTCTTCATGCTTGTGTGTGTATCCCCTAAAGGTTGTTTGAGAGGATTTGGGCTTTATCTTGATTGTGGAATATTAAACTACCCAGTACTGGCAACAGCACAATCATCTTTCACACATCTTTACAGTGAGATGTGTGAAAGCTGAGTAAGCAAAGTCTCAAATTCGATGGAGCTTCTACTCCAAACTGGCTTTAATTGGTGGTGGGAGAGCACTGTCATGTTTTCTTTGCAAATAAAATTGCTGATATTTTCTACACTTTGTGTCATACTCCCATCACAGATATGTTTCATGTTCTGGTTGGTCTGTGCAGTAGATTTCATGACAGTGTTTTAATTTCCTGTTTTTCATACCAATGTTACTGTGGATTTCAAGAAGCCTTTAGCACTGCCAGAAACTTACACTCTTTTCATTGAAGCTGCAGTTCTTGTTCACTGTCCTGTTTTGAACTCAGATGATTCGGGCTTACAAAATGCATTGTAACCGTTGGCCTTCTGTGATCCTATTCAACTTGCATGAACCAGCAGGCAAATGAGTCAGTGTGGTAAAGACTAGCAGGGCTCTTCATCTATTATGTACAGAAGGATTCTGTTGCTGTATGTGTAGAACATGTGGGGACCCCACAGTAGCACCCTAATTCAGGAACACCAAGACTTAGATGCCTGGAGGTAATGTACACTTGTGTATAGGTTGCTTCTATGTTTTATTCTTTCTTCTCTTAAAGTCACCAGAAGGACAACAAGTTAATAAAAACACGTTGAAGATGATTTAGTGTTATACAGTACTGCAAAGTTATTTAACTGCTAATGTGACAGGAGCACCGGTCAGTCTGTGAAGCATTGGGCATGCTTCAGGGACACAGGCAGCGTGTGCAAGGCAGAGCCACTGGTGTGCCTTGTAAGTAGGCTGCCTCATACTTGCCAGTGTATGACCTCGTTTAAAGATATTTGTGATGTTGCCAAGTGTTATAATTGTGCCATTCAGATGGAACTATTCCACATCAGGTGTTTCCTGAAAGAGCATCCTCAGGATGCTTTTTTTTTCAGTTTCAGAAAAAATGTTCCCAGGAGTAATGTATTAGGCAGATGAGCGTAATCACTCAAATGTCTTATTTTTTGTTTCTTTTAAATACCTACAGTGGTTTGTATGAAAACCAGCAGCATCCACATACTTACTTTTGTGTCAGAAGGGTCTCATAAAGCAAACAGATTTGACTGAACTAAAATCTTTTTAAAGACCTGTGATTTATCCATAGCTGGCACAGGCAAACTAATACTGGTCAGCTGAATTGTAACTGGTGCAGCTGGGTGTGCAAGGGATTCAGAAAGATGTCCACAGTGCTTCTGTACTCTGCAACAGGCCTCGACACAGGAACTGGGACTCTTTTTTTTTTTTTTTCCTTAGAGTGCTGTTCCTTGTGGTGTGCACCAGTGAGGGGTGCAGGATGTGACTCTAAGCAGTGTAAGGAGGCAGCTGGAGAGCAGGAACCCAGTGCAGCACTGCTCCCAATCTAAATCAACAAGGGAGTATGCATTACACAAGAGAGGTCCAGCAGAAATTGTAATGACTGCTTGAATTTCACCTGGAAGAGACAAGAACAAACTGGGACATGTAATCATCAGCAGACAACAGAATTTGGTTTCAAGTAAAGAAAAAGTAAGTCCTGGTCTGTCATGTGGAGTTATTTTCTTCTCTATGCAAATACACATGAAGGTGTGATGGTGAGATGTACTAAATATTCTATTGATTTCTCCTGGTGGGGTAGTAGAGTTACAAAAGATAAAATTAAGGAAGAAATGTTGCCAGAATCTGAACCTGGATTTCGTTAAAACATGTGGTCATTTCTCTGTAAAATATATCTGCTACAATATTCCAGAACTTTTAGACACACAATAGAGTAATAAACTGCTTTTATAACTTGGGTAATACTCTGCCATAGATTCTTGATTTCCCCCCTACTGTTTGTATGAAATTACCTCAGTACAGAAATGTTTGTGTGCTGTAACGGAGGAATAAATGGGTTATCATTTCAATAAGTGGAAATCTTAAAAATTGTGTATGAGATGTGTTTTATAGAGAGGACAACCAACATCAGAAGTTGGTCAGCCTGATTCCCTGCAGTCACGTCAGCAGCAGGGGCCCCTGTCTTTGTGTCCTTGTATCTATGTTCCTGGTTTTCCTTCACTGGGGCAGCTCACTACTGGAAACAGCAGTGGGAAACCCAGTATGAAGGTTACTTTTGTCACTGGTGCTTTTCCCAGTGTTGCTGGCAGCAGGTGTTGCTGGCACCTATTGAGGTAAGTAGTGTGCCCTGGGAACAGGGAGGCTACCTGACCTCCAGCTCCTGAGGGCAACAGCACTATCCTCCAAACACACTGTGTGGAAAAGCCAGCATGTCCCCTCGCAGCATCAGTCTGGAAGAGATGTCCTTAGTATTGTCTTCCATGTTTCCTGTGCAGACAAATCCCTTCCCAGGCTGCTTCCTGGATTAATGTGATCCCATTCTTGAACACAACACAAAACTCTCTGAAAGGAGTGAGTGTCTCTGTTGGAAAGACACAGTCCTTCTCATGCTTCTGTGGGAACATTTCCATGACTAAGTGTTAACAGATTAGGTTGATGGTTATTCTAATATCTTCCCCCAAATATCTGTTCTTTTCCGTTCCCGTAGAAGAATGATATTGTAAGACTCAAGGTCTTTCTCCTAAAATAGAAAATTCCAAGAGATCTGACTGAGTACACCAAACTACATATACTTTATACGCAGGTCCCTGGCTATGCTTCCCTTCAGCTTGCCATACACTTCTAAAAGTTTCTAGTCCGTGGCATACACAGTTCCTATTGAAAACAATGGATGGATAAAGATGCAGTCTGCACACCCAGAACAGATATTTCCTTTTCTGTTTTCTGCCCCAGAGTGATGCATCTTAACACAAAGAGTCTCCTCATGTCTGTGGCATTTCATACTGATTTCTTAATAATAACAGAGCTGTTGATAAATAAATCCTCTCTGGTTAGCCGCAGTAAGAGGCATGTTTTGTTTGGCGTTGTTCTGGGGATCATAGAGCCCCAGAGAAGGTTTAGGAGAGCAGTGCATATCCTTCATAACAAAGGTTGATGTTGTGTAAGCCACATGTCCTGCCTCCAGAAGCATCATCATAAAGAACTGAGTGAAACTTTTCTCCAAAATAAGTAGTTCCAGGTGGTGAGCCTTGTCAAGCACAAAGCCAGCACTCCGAGGCAGCTCAGTTACGTCACTGAAATATCTTTCATGGCTCAACATGCAGGTCAGAAAACACAGTTCCATAACTTTTTCTTTTTTGTTCTTTGGCTGGTTGGTTTGTTTGTTTTCTGAGTGGCAACTTATGACCAACTATTCTGGCTGCTATAAATTACCTGCAACATTTTGAATAGTGCAGTATAAGCCCAAATTCTTTTCTGAATCCTGATGTGTATGTATTGCAATATCAATTAACTCCATGTTTTTTTAAAGAAATTAGGTGTACATCATTGGGAATTTACAGTATGTGATGTTTGAGTCCAGAATTAATTCTGACAGCTTGGTTACCATAAGCTCCTCAGAGACACAGTGCTTAGTGGAAACACTGACATAATCTTAACGATAGTGGTGGGAATAGTGCCAGTAAACCAGAATGTGCTGTAAGCCTAATGTAAGGCAGAATCACTTCAGCTCCCCAGGTCACAATAGCTTTGAAAGAAAAGTTGATAGAAAATTTGTGCACGCCTATTCCTTTGACCAAGAAAGAACAACTTTTGTATGTGCTGATGACTCTCGTTATCAGCTGTATTCCTTTCCATTTTGCACATAGCAAAAGGTGCTGGGGAAATTTAAAGAACATTTTGTGGCAAACCCATGGAGTCTTGCTGCAGAGCAGTGGGGGCAACTATGAGGGCACAAACAGATGTGTATGCTGCAGACAGACTGCTTTCACTTATCCTTGCTGTTCCTTCCCCATCAGCTCTCTTGGCTGAGCTGGTCATGAAGAGCTCTCCACAGACTTACTATAATGGAACAGGTTAGCCAAGAATTCATGCTTAGATTGTTGACAATAACCTCATTACTCTTGCCTGGAGTGGGTGAGGAAGCGTTCACCCATGTAGCCATGCTGGCACAGGAGTGGGCCAGAGGGGATGGAGATAGAGGGCATCCTCATGCAATGCTTCAGCTGGAGCCACAAGATGATATCTGTCCAAAACGTGGTGCATATACATGACAAGCTGTGCAAGGTGACATTTTATGTGATAGCATGACACTGTTGCATTTCAGATTGCTCTGAGCAGTGCCCCTTGTGTTCAATAGCAATGTAAGAAAGTGCAGCACTCCAGAAGATAAGTAAGTGTCTCCCAGAATTGCTGGGGGAAAATTCTTCCAAGTGAAAAAGAGGAAGAAAAGGAAGACACTATTTAAAAAGAAGTGGACTGAGGCAGTGGGGGGAAGGGGAGAAAGACCTTAGGCTGACACTACTTTGCAGTCAGCTTTATGATCTTTTACCCCTGTTACAAAGCTAAGAATAATTTAGATTCATTTCTATAAAACTTCATAGCATAGAAGAGCAGGAGAAATGGCTCTTCTGCACCTCTTAGAATAGATTTGTTCAATATGAAGTAAGATAAAATATGCTCTACTGTTTTATTTGTACTTGAGGAATGCAAAGGCATAATAACTACCAGCTGATACATCAATTTATGCAGGTGTTCAGATTTTTAAATTTTAAACCATTATCACTTTATGTTACCTTATAAAAGGAGATCTCAGAATTTTCAATGAAACAACTACTAGGAAAAGAGACACCATTATATGAAAGGAGGTGAAACTCTCAAATACAAGAATTGCAAAAAATCTCTTACTAGAGGATCAGGTAGATTCCCTGCCTGTTTGAGATGAATGATTAGCTAAGCATGAAGGTTTGAGGATTCTAAGAACACAGGGCACACAGTTACTGCTTATGTTACTTATGTACAGATTCTAATGTATGTGCTATATCTTAAAATGACATTAAAGTACAGCAGTCTGGCTGCCAATCACCTGCTCTAGGCCTAGGTCTTCACCCAAAACAATATGGAGCTACTGCTCAAACATGTTTCAACCAGTAATGTGATGAGATTCAGAAAGGATTTTAGCCAAAAACAAAGATGAAATTACACCTTCAAATTATTAATTGATTTCTGATAAGGAACCATAAAGACTAGTCAGAATGTGAGACACTGGAGCGGGTTTCCCAGGGAACTTGTGGCCACCCCATCCCTGGCAGTGTTCAAGGCCAGGCTGAACAGGGCTTTGAGCAACCTGGTCTAATGGAAGGTGTACCTGCCCCTGGCAGGGGGCTGGAATTAGATGGTCTTTAAGGTCCATTCCAACCCAAACCATTCTATGAGTCTATGATTCATGAGTGTTCATCCATCTTGGGCTGCAAATGAAGGGAGATTTGTTTATTTGTATTACCATAGCTTGTGGTTCTTCTTTGAACTATGACCAGTGGATGCAAATGGTTTGGTGAAGGCATTATGCATTTTTCATTATTTTATGTTTAAATGGCAAATAAAATTTTTGCTCTATCATGGAGAAGTTCTTGCTCCATTTACACTCAGGGATGCCTGGATTTGGATGAACACTTTTTTATCCCACATCCTTTGAACATCTTTTCTTAATCTCTTGTGGTGTCAGTGGTGAAAGACCACAAAGATTGGGCTCTGAAGTTTATCTTCTCCTGCTCTCTGGAATGTGAGTTGTACAGCTCCCTTAGCTCTGTACACACTGGATGCTGACAGCTGAATTGTGGGACATTTCATGGTTTCTTCAGGCTGCTTGAATGAGTCCTGGCTTCTTGCTGGGACAGCAATTGCATGATCCCAGCCATCAGGATCAGGGTGTGAGTGTCTTTGTCAGGGACTAGCTGGCAGAGGTAATAGATGGTAAGAGGTACCTGAAAGCAGCTGCTCCTTGATAGGTTTGAAAAATGTCAGGTTCAAGTATTGTTAGTCCTACTTGTGTATCACTGGTGGAGTATGAGCAAGGCTGCAGGGATGCTGCTGACATGTGGGAAATTACATTCTGTGCACACTATTTCCTGGCCCAGCCAGGAGCAAAGCAAAACTATAACAAACAGCAATGCAGTCTTTTACTAATATTGCTTAAACAAAAAAAAGACAACTTCCAGAAAAGATGAATCCTGCTTTCCTGGCCATAACTATGCATATTTAACCCCAAACTACCTTTATAAACAAGCCCTCTGACTTCCTGGGGAGGAGTGTGCAGAATGCCAGGCTCTCTGCTTCATAGACATGCAAAAACCTTGGCTCTCTGGAGTGCCGTAGCAGAGACGGGGTGAGAAAAGCAGGGCACAGGCTGGATATCCGCGCGCAGGAATCATGGCCATGGTAAGTCCCCAGGGAGTCTGCTAAGTGACACTGAGGCATGTGCCTGTCTTGCCACAACAGCACCACCACAGGTGACAGACTGACATTATACTTCCCTCACTGAATAGACAGAATCATAGAATCATAGAATAGTTAGGGTTGGAAAGGACCTTAAGATCATCTAGTTCCAGCCCCCCTGCCATGGGCAGGGACACCTCACACTAAACCATATCACCCAAGGACTCGTCCAACCTGGCCTTGAACACTGCCAGGGATGGAGCATTCACAACCTCCCTGGGCAACCCATTCCAGTGCCTCACCACTCTAACAGGAAAGAATTTCCTCCTTATATCCAATCTAAACTTCCCCTCTTTAAGTTTTAACCTGTTACCCCTTGTCCTGTCACTACAGTCCCTAATGAAGAGTCCCTCCCCAGCATCCCTACAGGCCCCCTTCAGATACTGGAAGGCTTCTATGAGGTATCTACACAGCCTTCTCTTCTCCAGGCTGAACAGCCCTACCTTCTCAGCCTGTCTTCATACGGGAGGTACTCCAGTCCTCTGATCATCCTTGTGACCCTTCTCTGGACTTGTTCCAACAGTTCCATGTCCTTTTTATGTTGAGGACACCAGAACTGCACACAATACTCCAGGTGAGGTCTCAGAAGAGCAGAGTAGAGGGGCAGGATCACCTCCTTCGACCTGCTGGTCACGCTCCTTTTGATTCAGCCCAGGATACGGTTGGCTTATCTGGGCTGCAAGTGCACACTGCCTGCTCATGTTCATTTTCTCATCGACTAACACCCCCAAGTCCTTCTCTGCAGGGCTGCTCTGAATTTCTTCTTTGCCCAACCTGTAGCTGTGCCTGGGATTGATCTGACCCAGGTGTAGGACCTTGCACTTGGCATGGTTAAACTTCATGAGGTTGACATCAGCCCACCTTACAAGCGTGTCAAGGTCCCTCTGGATGGCATTCCTTCCCTCCAGCGTATCAACCGAACCACACAGCTTGGTGTCATCGGCAAACTTGCTGAGGGCGCACTCAATCCCACTGTCCATGTCAGCAACGAAGATGTTGAACAAGACTGGTCCCAGCACAGATCCCTGATGGACACCACTCGTTACTGGTCTCCAGCTGGACTCTGAGCCATTGACCACAACTCTTCGCATGTGGCCATCCAGCCAGTTCTTTATCCACTGAGTCGTCCATCCATCAAATTGATGTCTCTCCAATTTAGAGACAAGGATGTCATGTGGGACAGTGTTGGACGCTTTGCACAAGTCCAGGTAGATGACATCAACTGCTCTACCCCTGTCCATCAGTTCTGTAGCCCCATCATAGAAGGCCACCAAATTGGTCAGGCAGGATTTCCCCTTAGTGAAGCCATGCTGGCTGTCACCAAACAGCTTGTTGTTTTTCATGTGCCTTAGCATGCCTTCCAGGAGAATCTGCTCCAAGATTTTGCCAGGCACAGAGGTGAGACTGACTGGTCTGCAATTCCCCAGGTCATCCATTTTCCCTTTCTTGAAAATGGGGGTTATATTTCCCTTTTTCCAGTTGTCGGGAACTTCACCTGACTGCCATGATTTTTCAAATATGATGGCCAGCGGCTTAGCAACTTCCTGTGGATGGATTTCATCCGGACCCATGGACTTGTGCATGTTCAGGTTTTTAAGATGGTCTCAAACCAGATCCTCTCCTACAGTGGGCCCAAGGTCTTCATTCTCACAGTTCCTGTGTCTGCCTTTTTCCTGGGTTCAGCAGTAGCAGTCATGTTTTTCCTTTGTGGTAGCTGGTGCAGTGCTGTGTTTTGACTTCCAGCCTGGGAACAGTGTTGGTGAAGCCGATGTTTTCGGTTGTTGCTAAGTGATGTTTACCCTGACCAAGGACTTTGTGAGGCTCATGCTCTGCCAGGGAGGAGGGGAAGCTGTGAGGAAGCAGAGATGGAGAGCCTGACCTGGGCTAGCCAGGGAGGTATTCCATACCACAGCACGTTATGCCCGGGGTGGGGGTAACTGGGAGTTACCGGGAAGGACACAGGCTTCCGGGTGGGACTCGTTTTCTTGGCAGGTGGTATCGTATTCTCTTCCCTTGTTATTTTCCCTTATCATTGTTGTAGTTGGTAGTAGTGGTGGTGATTTGTGTTGTACATT